TCAAAAAAAAAAAAACTAAAAAACTTTTTTAGGTATGTTTGATAAATAATTTTAAATTAAAGATATATACTATATGCTATGATTTTTTAAGTTTTCTTGATTCATTTAAAAAATAAAATTTTATATGTTAAACATTATATATTAATATTTTAGATATTTCTGGATAATTATCTTTGAATATTGTGTATATTACATATACATTTAATGTTATGTTATAAAAGAATAAACTTTTATTTTAATTTTTAGAATAAATTAAAAAAAAAGGTTATAAACATATATTATAAAAATTTTATACAATACTATAAAAAAATGTTGTTTTCTTAAATAATAATAAATGAACTAAGATTCATAACATATATATGAATATATATTTTTTTATTTACAGTGATTTAACATGGTAAAATTTTTCAATTTTTTCTAGAATTCAGGAAAAAAAATATTAATGTTACTTTTTCCATTTTTTATAATATATTCTAGACCACCAGGACATCATGCAATGAAATCAGAATATTGTGGATATTGTTTTTTTAATAATGTTGCAATAGCTGCAGAAAAAGTTTTATGTAATAATTTAGCTAATAAAATTTTAATTGTTGATTGGGATGTACATCATGGGCAAGCTACTCAACAAATGTTTTATGATAATCCACGGTATATAAATATTTTTGTAAACATTCTATTATCTATAAATATTATAATAGTATAAATTTAACTAATAATTAATTATAAATTTTATATATAGAGTAATTTATTTCTCTATTCATCGTTACGAAAATGGTGAATTTTGGCCAAATCTTAGAGAATCTAATTTTCATTTTGTTGGAGATGACTTAGGAGAGGGATATAATTTTAATGTGCCACTTAATAAAATTGGTATGACTAATGCTGATTATTTAGCTATATTTCAACAAGTTTTATTGCCAATGGCTTATGAGGTAAAAATATTACATTATTATAATTTATTTTAAGTAATATAATTTAAATAATGTAATTGTAAAAAATAATAATATAAATTCTGAATATGATTTCTGAAAAAAGATCATTTTTAATTATTCTAGTTTCAACCAGATCTTATAATAGTATCAGCTGGTTATGATGCAGCTTTGGGTTGTCCAGAGGTAAAATAATAAATATTATTTACTTTTTCTTATAATTTTATCTTAGTTTAATTCAAATCTTATCATTGTCTGGATTTAATTTATGAAAATGAAAAAGTTTAAATATATACATATCTCAGAACAAATGATATGAGAGAATAAAAAATAATTTTACATGCAAAAATAAATAAATAAAAATATATATATATTTTTTTTATTTTTATTTTCGAGTTTGAGAATTTATCATTTAATTAATTTTCAATTAGATAATTAGAAAAAAATCATCATAAATATAAAAATGAAAAAAAAATTAGTTTTAAAGGAAATAAAAATTAAAAATTCGTTTAGTATTAATATTTGGTTACTTTTTAATTGTATATATTATATTCAATCTTTATTTTTCAAGAATGAAATTAAATGTGTATAATATGTAAAATAAACTTTTATCAATAATTTTAGAAATTAGCCAAATTCATTTGTAAAATTATAAACTGATAGACTTTGATTTATTTGAGTTGTTTGTTAATTTTGATTCACTCATTTGATTTTATTCATTTAAAAAATTTTCAAACTTGGTTTTCTCAAAGACTAAATAAAAAATAAAAAAATGTTATCCTCTCCCTTTGATTTACGAAAAATCGTATATTAATAAAGTATATATATCTATGAAGAATTTTAATATTTTTGTTTTATTAATATTTAGGGTGAAATGTTGATAACACCTGCATGTTATGCTCATTTACTATCATCATTATTATGTTTAGCTTCTGGAAAAGTTGCCATTATATTAGAGGTATAATATATTTTCATTCTATTATTGAATTTTATTGTATATCTATAATTTTTCAAATATATTATTTTCATTATATTTTTCATTGCAGGGTGGTTATTGTTTAAAGTCATTAAGTGAAAGTGCAGCATTAACATTGCGTACTTTGTTAAATGATCCATGTCCTATGTTAGAAACTCTTACATTACCTTCAATAAGGTAAACTAAAAATATAAACATGTATAATTATATAATTATATAATATTTAATCATGATTATATATATTTAATATAATTTTAGTATACGTGATACAATTTTGAATACAATTTATACACATAAACCATATTGGAAATGTTATCAATATCAAGATACATATAGTATTAATAGTACACCAAATAATAAAGAAGAAAATACTAATCAATATTTACCTATAGTTATATTCAAGTAAGAAATTAAATTATTTTTAACAAAATTTATTATTATTATTTTTAATTATATAAATATTTATCTATTTCAGAGAAACTGATGTTAGACCAAAAGTATATGAAACTCAAAATTGTTATCCAATTCAAACTCAAGAAATTATTGAAATAATAGAAAAGCAACTGAATATATTAATACAATGTAAGTATTTTTAATTTGATAATTTAACAATTAATTATATACATATAATGTATATATATAATAATATAAAATTTATAAATGTAAACTTCCTTTTAGTTACTAATTTGTCTAAAGCACCTAATAAAGTATGTATTGTTTATGATGATAGAATGCTAAAACATTACGATATATCTGATGATAATCATCCAGAAAAACCACATCGTATTAATATTATTTATAAAAAATTTCAAGAATATAATCTACTTGATCGAAGTTATGTGCAACAGGTATGTAAATTTATTTTTAAAAAAGAACTTTTTCACTATTAAAATGAATGCATCAACATTTTTATTTGAAATATTAATTTTTATTATCGATTATTTTGAAGGGACGAAGTGCAACAAAAGAAGAGTTATTATTAGTCCATACAAAAGAATATATTGATAAAATAAAAAATACAAAAAATTTAAAATCAAAAGAGCTAAAGAAGCAGGCAGAAACATATAATTCAGTTTATTTACATCCTGAAACATGGTCAAGTGCTTGTGTATCAACTGGATCATTATTACAAGTAATTGATAGTGTTTTGAATGGAGAAAGTCAATCTGGTATTGCTATCATTAGACCTCCAGGGCATCATGCTACAGAGGATGCAGCATGTGGTTTTTGTATTTTTAACAATGTAGCTATAGCAGCTAAATATGCCATAGAATTTCATCATGTAAAAAGGTATTACAATTAACTTATTTTATATATTGACTATATTGACTATCTCGATATAAATAATAATATAATTTTCAGAGTATTGATAGTAGATTGGGATGTACATTATGGTAATGGAACTCAATCTATTTTTGAAGAAGACTCTAAAGTTTTATATATATCTGTTCATCGTTATGATAATGGTAGTTTTTTTCCAAACTCTAAACGAGCAAATTACTCTTATGTTGGTTCTGAATCAGGAGAAGGTTTCACTGTTAATATACCATGGAATAAGGTTAATCTTAGAAGATATTCTGCGAAGTTAATATTAATAAAATTAGAATTATTGTAATTATTTGTATTATTTGTATTATTTAGAAAGGAATGGGTGATGCAGAATATATAGCAGCGTTTCAGCAAATAATAATGCCAATTGCTTATCAATTTAATCCAGAATTGATTTTAGTTTCTGCAGGTTTTGATGCCTGTATTGGTGATCCTTTAGGAGGTACAGTACTATTTTATAAATATTCTTTATTATTGTAAAATTTTATATTAATATTTTCCTTATTTTTAAGGTTGTTTTGTAACACCAGAATTGTATGGACATTTAACACATTGGCTATCTTCTTTAGCTAATGGCCGTGTTATTCTTAGTCTTGAAGGAGGTTACAATACTAATTCAGTTGCACATGCAATGGCTATTTGTACGAAATCATTGCTTGGTGATCCTTTACCAATATTAGAAAGTGGACAAATTCCATGTGCAAGTGCTGTTCACACTATCCATAATGTTTTAAAAACGCAAAAACAATATTGGCCAAATTTAATGTTTAATTTATCATTACCAAAAGAAAAAATTCTTTCTAAACCTAAAGTGTCATATAAAAAGACAAATGAACAAGTTATAAACAACGAAGAACTTTTAAAATATTCTGAATCTAAGATAGCATTGGAAGAAATTGAGACAGAAAAAATGCAAAATAAAAAAATTGCAACCTGGAAATTCATAAACAAAATTAAAAACGAAGATGAAAAAGATTTTAGTGACAAATTAGATGAAGCGATTGATTCATATTACGAGTCACAAAATACTCAACTTAATGATAATACTTTCTATTACGAAGGTATGATAAATTAGAAATATATATATATACAAAGTATTAAAAAAAAGATCTAAAACTTTAAGGGCTTCTAATATTTAAAAAAAGCAAAAAATATTCAATTATGTAAATTCTTAATTTTTTCGAGTAAAATCGATTTTTGTCATTTATAAATATTGGATGTCGTAATTAAAATTCTTTGTTGAATATAAATAAAGAGATTTATTTAATAGTATATTAATTCAAAATTATAAATATAAAATTATTATTAAAGATTATTCATATATGTAAATGAAATAAAAAACATTGGCAAGATCATATATAAAATATATTTGTCATTTCCATAATAAGTAAATATTAAAGACTGAAGAATAATTTATTTTTTCATATTATATAATATTAAATGCATTGAAAATTTATATTTGTATTTGAAGCAATTTTTATTAATATAAATAATAATTTTATGTTGAGCAAATGTATTTCTAAATCATCCTTCACATGATATTGAATGTATATGAATTTTTATACTGATAAAAGTTGATTTTATATCGAAAATGATTTATATTGATTGGACATTTTTGCTTCTTGTGATGTATTATAAGCCTTTAAGCTTTTAAACTCTTTTATTAATTTCTTATATATCTATAAATCTAATATCTATAAAATAGTTTATCACATAAAGAATTATTTTTATAGTTTCTAAATATACAAAGACATGTATGAATCAAGATCAAAAAGAAGGACATTCTAATGAAAATTTTACCAGTTTTGCTGCTGGTAGTAGTGGTAAACAGAATGAAAGAATAGTTAAACAAATAAGTGGCAATAAAAATTTATATGATTATTTTTCAGAAAATTTACAAGTAATTAGTATTTAAAATTTTTAATATTATATATTATATATTTGATATTATATATTAATTAAATATATTACTAAATTAATTTTCATTATTTGGAATTTTTTATAAAATTCTATAGGCACTAATAGCTGGAGACATGTTTGCAGTGATACCTTTAAGAGAATGTCCACATTTAGATAATATTAGGGATGTGCCAGCTTTGGGAATTGATGTACATTTACCTTGTGTAGAATGTGGAAGTACTGCTGAAAATTGGATCTGTCTACAGTGTTATATTATTCATTGTGCGCGTAATATTAATCAACATGGTGTATTACATGCTGAAAAAATGGAACATCCATTGGCACTAAGTTTTAGTGATTTATCAGTTTGGTGTTATAAATGTGAAGCATACATAGATAATCCAGTAAGTTTTAAATATTTGTTGTAAAAATATTTTAATATGATCTTTTTTAATGTTTAATAATATTTGTAGCGATTATTTGCTGCTCGTAATGCTGCACATCAAAGCAAATTTAACGAGGAATTGCCATGGACATATAATGATGACTGAAATAAAAATATATTTAAAAAAATTTGCAATTAACTATGTATTTTATAATATCTGTAAATCTATAAAGTATATACTTTTATTTCTGTATTATGTTTAGATAAATTGTTAACATAATTTATGTATTATAATATTTTATAGCTTTTATCACAGATAAGATATAGAATAGATCTAACATTTAATGCATTTTTTTATTTTATGTCTTAAAGATTAGAACTTTTTAATCATTTTAATATTCTTAACATTATCAATTCAATTTAAAATAATATTAAAATATTAGTAATAATTGGAAATTAAATTTTCATATAAAATTAAATAAAAAAATAAAAAATAAACTTTTATATAAAATAAAAAATAAGAATGTTTATATAGAATTNATATTATTCCACACTTATGTACATATCTTTAATTACAAAAAATTGCTTTTATTAAATGAAGATTAGAAATAAATTTTTATTTATTTATTTTGTAATTATTTTAATAAAATATTTTTAAGAATTAGGAAAAATATTATAATGATATATTATATATATTATTTATAATTTATTTTTTATCTTATTAGATTTTTATTTATAATTTATTTTAAAATCGATGCTCAGTTTTAATCAATTACAATATTAATTCACAAATTAGTCTCATGGAAATTAACATATTTTTTTTTTAAATGAAATTACATATTTTCTATATTCTTGAATTAATTGTTTTCTAAAATAACATTTGATTTTTTTAAATATTATAAATTATTTATAATATATTTATATGAAGTAATACGATGAAATATATATAATTATAAATTAAAGAATTAGACACATTATAGTTTTAAAAGAAAAGTAATAATAAAAGTATATTCAATTGACAATCGATGTTTTATGATCGAGAATATATCGAGCAAGTAAAGAGAGGAAATAGTGAAAAAAAAATAAAGATAAAAATTCAGAACTTATTTAAAATATCGCAAAAGAAATATAAAAACAGAACAAAAAATAATAGAAAATAAAAGAAGAATAGAAATGGAATAAAAATTGATCTTCAGAACTCTGGTGCTAAAAATATTTTCTCAAAATAGAATAATTTTAAAAATAATTAAAAATTAGTCTAAAATTTAAATTAAAATAATATAAAATTAAAGACCATTTTCCGAACATAAAAAATTGTATATTTCTTATAAGATTTCTTATGTTTAAAAATATACAGAATACTGATTTTTATTCTATCTTATTTTGTCTTATAAAGATATTTTTATTAGTATTTTTATTAGTATCTAAGATATGCTGAAAATCAATTTTTTATCATATTTCTATCTTTCCATTATTTTTTTTCTTTCTTTATATGTTTTATTCATTAATTATATGTTAATGAAAATTTTTATAAAGAAAAACTTTCGTTAAAATTGTTTGAAATTACTTAAGAAATCTTCACATACATATATTTATGTAGGTGTATATATATACATACATATTAATAATAATTAATAATATACATATTATAATTATATATTATACAATTATAATATATTATAATTAATAATATATATATTAATAATAATTAATAATATACAATATTAATAAATATATATATATTATATTTATAATCCATATTTATTTATAGTCCCAATTTGTTTAATAGATATATATAGTGTGGTCTAAAAATATAGGAATATTGATTAACTGAAGATTTCTGAAATAATCAACAATCATCATTTCAAGTAACAATTTCCTTTTTTTCAGCTTTGTTAATGAATTATTAATAAAAAACATTGGCCAATTATAATTTATGGATTAATCAAGTATTAGATATGTGCTATTGGTTAAGCACGAACAAGTTCAAATAATATGTGAAAACTTGAATATAACAGATATTTTTTAATGGAAAAAAAAATTATATCAAATTATATTTTATTTATACAAAATATATTTTACAAAATAAATTAATTTGACTACGTATTCTGTGATGGCCAGCGTTTTTTTTTGTTAATAATTTATTAACAAAGTCGTAACGAAAGAAAACGTTGCTTGAAATTATCTTAGGAATTTTAAATTAACTAATCTTTTTATTTTTAGAATATTTTATATATGTTATATGTATAAATTTAGTTATTAAAATAGTTATATTAATTATTTAAAAAAAATTGAAATATACATTATTTTTATTTATTAATATATTTTACAAAATTATATTCAGTAATTTTATTAATCATTTCTCTATATTAAAATAAGTTAAATAAATAACCTTAAATAAACACAAAATAAAATTATCAAGATTTTTAAAAATTAAATTTTATGTTATATATTATATGTAATATAATACATATAATGAATTTAATTCTAAGAAATTATTTATTTTAAAAAAATAAATAAAACTATATGATAGTAGTTTTTATGTTCTTATATGCAACATTATAATTTGTATATTATGCAATAAAATTTTATTTTTAGAAAAATTTAATAATATACAATTTAAATGTGTTATTTCTCGTATATATCAAATATGTTTATAGTTCTTAGTTTAATGATATCAACTGTTTAAATGTAATAATATTTTTCTGTTAAAAATTTTAAGAATATTTATACATTATATGATATTATATATATAATACTATTGGATATAATAATAAATGTAATTATATTATATCGATAAAATATTAATAAATATATATATATATATATTTTAAACCTATATTTTTAACCTATTTAAATTTTATAGTTATAATTATAACAATTTTTTTCAGGATATATGTACAGTTTTATATTTATTATCTATCAAATATTCAATTCGTATTAATAATAATTGGAACTGTTGAAACGTTTCCAATATATTATTCATAATTTCAGTCAATTTTTCTACTGAAAATATAGTTAAATGCGTAAAACGCGTAATATTTTTAGTAACTTTTGAAAATGGTAATTTTTCAATGGTAACATGTGGATAAAATTTATGTACAATATGATAATCAAATAAATTTATATTATTTTGAATAAAAATAAACTCTTCCAAATCTGTAGCTGGAAGAGCATAATATAATCTATATGGTACTTTTTTAGTAGCATATTTATATTCACATTCATGAAGTTTTAAAGCAATAACATTATATACATCTTGTATAGATTTTGAACCTTGTTCATAAAGATAAAAATCTTTTATCAATTTATACTTATGATTTCCACTACTTACATATGTCTTTCTAGTATTTCTTAAATGTAGAAGTGCTGTTGGTATAGAATAAGTGTGTGATGTAAATAGATGTATATGTGTAAGATCTGGTTTTGCTTTTAATTCATTTGCTATATGAGATGATAAGGGTAGAACTCCACCTTGATGAGCAAACCCATAAAAAAATGTTAATGCAATGTTACATATAAACCATAAGATCTGCAGTTTATTCAACTTATTTCTTTCTGTTGTAAAAGTATTTTCATTATTTCCAGTAATACGAGTAATAGTATCAACCCCTGATGTTTGATTTATATTTGGTGCATACAAAAAAGTTAGAGGTAATAATGTTGGTATAATAAATCTAGGCTCTTGATGTGGAAATATTGACAACAACATAATAGGTATAATAAAAGATGTTGTCATTAGACCAACAACACTTTGTATCCGCGGCAAATTTAACCATTGCGCCTTTAAACCACTGTAAATCAAAATTAACTATTTTATTAATTATTTTATATTTCATATTGTATATAAAATATTATTACAACAATAATTTCAATATTTACCTATATAACATTTTTCCAAATGTAAGAAGACCAATAACTCCAAGAACATTATATAAAAGAGGTATATTTACTATAAAATGTAAATAATGAGGATGCAAACCATGATTTTGTAAATTTTTAGTATTTGAATTGTATCTGAGAAAATTCAGTGGTGTTACCACAAAATTATTCATGCTAATATCAAGATTACCTATTTCTGCCATTGTTAAATAGCCAAAATAAAAACTATCGACTAAAATAAAAAAGATAGTAGTAGGTATTCCACAAGCAATAAAAGTGAATATTCGGACATGGAAATGCCCAAATCCTACACTTTTAGAACCTAAACTTCTTTGTAACCAAAAGAAGATAGGAATGAAGGCAAATGCAATAAATGTTGGTCTATTAAATATACCAATTACAGTGATTGTTGCAATTTTTATACAATGATTTAAAGAATGAGGAGGCAATGAAGCTTTAAGTTTATAGTATTTTACTCTTTCTATTCCAGTTTTTGCTTTATTATATTTATCTGATAAATAGTCACTTTGGACAACTACCTAAAATGATAAATATTATTATTTTATAAATTGTATTTTATAACTTATCAACAAATTTTATTATAAATATAATACCTTTTCTGAATGTGCCATAGAATATGATGCATAATATAGTAATAATGCTGTTAATACCAATTCAATGGTATTTGATAATGTATGAGTAGCATAAACAAGCATAACATAGGAACTGGCATAAATAATCAGTCTTATTTTGTAATTTTGTCCATATATGTAACAGATTTTATACAAACAATAATCTGATATAAAAGATAAACCACATACTAATAAACGTGGAAATAATATAAGAAAATATGGTGATTTTAATGATATACCCAAATAAAAAAGTGTATATTGTGAAAGTTTTTTTAAAATCGAATATGGTATACCAACTATGATTTGAGATATTAAAACAGTTCTTATAGGAAAAGTTGAATTAAATTCCCATGGTTTATTAACATCAATGTCAAAATGATCTCCTATAAAATGATTTCTTAAACTTTTTATAACTTATTATTTGATTATGATCTAAATAATAATAATTTTTCACCTACCAGATATAACTTCAATAGATTGAAAATATTCATCAGGATGAATGTATCCTGTTTGAGGAATGAATGTCAAAATAATTCTTACAATAACCAAGATCCAATAAAGTCCCATTTTTCTTTTTATTGGTATAGCAGGTTTGTATTCATCTATAGATCTACGATATTCATTTTTGAAATGCATTTTTATTAATAAATAATTCAGAACAATAAAATTAATTTTTATTTTTTCGAGATGTCACTTTAATAAGGTTAAAAAAATTGGCAAGAATTTTTGATTTATTAAATTAATCATTATTTTTAATTATTATAAAATATCTAACATATGTTTCATTCAAATATATTTTGTTTTATTATATTGTTTTTATTCAATCACGAA